TTCCTGTGAAGTATTCTGGCCAAGATTGCATAGCCTGAGCCTGGTCTGGAGGAGACATCAGGTAAATCTAAAACGAGCCATGTCTGCAGGAGGTCTGTGTTCTTAGGTTAATGCCTGGAAAGGTGAAGAAAGGCTGAAAGTATTGCAAATTAAAGGAAGCTTAAGACAGAACCGCAAACTGTGCTGCCTGACCCCAACTAGATCCTGTGCCAGATATTACTGGGACAATTGAGAATTGAAGTACAGACTTAGTAGAGGAAAATATTAGAACATGGTCAAATTGGCTGAAGTTGATATCTCTGCTTTGTTTATAAAGCAGATTATCCCTAAGGAAATGAACATTGAAGCAGAGGCGCAAAGGGCTCTGATGTGTCTAGTTTATCCTCTGCTGGCTCAGGAAAAAACAATCAGTGTGTGTCTGTGAAAGTCAGGACAGTGGGAGCAGACACACGTACACAAATGACAAAGCGGGTGACTTTAATAAATGCGATTGGGTATTGTTGTCTTCTTGTATACTGTTTGCAACTTTTCTGTAAGTTTAAAATGATTCCCAACCAAAATATTTAAAACACTTAAAAATATCTGACCTTTATTTATAGACTTTGTTCACTTACAAAGAGCTTGGTTCTTTGTGTGGAACGAGTGTGGAATGAACACGTTTATAGTGTTTTCGCATGTTCAGTGATATGTGTCTGAAAGCCACCCATTGCTGAATGTGACAGCAGTTTATAGAAAATAAATGGGTCATTCTGTGCATTGTTGGAATCTAAAACTGAAATTTTATTCCATTGATAACATCAAGTTTTTAGGACTATGTATGAGCTGTGCGTCTACTAGTCTTCAGGTTAGCATTTTTATGACATCTTTTCAATAAATTTTGGATTATTTTACATAAAGAGTTTAATTGTTATCATCTGATTATTTAGATTATCTTGTTTTGTGTGTGTATGTGTGTTGTTTTTGGTGAGACAGGGTCTTGGTATGTAGCCCAGGCTGGCCTCGAACTCACAGTGATCCTCCTGCCCCAGTGCTGGGATCACAGGCGTGCTAGACCATGCCTGGCTAGATTATCTTGTTTTAAAACTCAGAAAGATTTCCATGATTTAGCCCTAAGAGTAATTATTCATTTGTTCATAGTGTTTATTGAATGCCTACGATGTGCCAGCCCCTTCCTAGGCACCAGACAAAACATAATTCTTGCCCGCTTGGGTTTCACTTTTCTGAGGGAGGACAGGCAGAGTAAGAGAAATGAATGTTACTTGGTAGCATTGGAGAAAAACCAGAGAAGGGACTTAGGGAATACTGGGAGCAGATGTGTTGTAGTTTAAGTGAATTTTTAAATACAGTGGATTAGAAGGATTTTGCCTGAAGACATTTGAGCACAGATCTGAAGATAGGGAGGGTGATGCCTGCAGAGATAGTCTAATGGAAGGAGTTGTCAGCCAAAGAGCAGGTACAAAGTCCTTGAGGCAGAGATGGGCCTGGCCTGTAAACAGCTTAGCAAGGGGTCAGCAAGAAGAGGGTCGTGGGAGCCAAAGTTTATGCCACTTAAGAAAAAAACCTTTGGCTTTTGCTGGGCATGGTGGCACAGACCTGTGATCCCAGCACAAGGAAGGTTGGGACAGGAGGATTAGTTCAAGGCCAGACTGGCTATACAGCAAGCTCAGTGCCAACCCAGACTACACAGTGACACCTTGTCTCAAAAGCCAAAATCAGTTACTCTTAAATGAATCTAGAAGCCACTGGGGAGTGGGAGGAGCTGATAGTACATTACATGAATTATGTGTTAGGCTCATTCTGGCTGCTTTGATGAGAAGGGAATGAGGTAGGGCAAAGACGGAAGTCTGGAGGTCAGTACTAAACTATGCTAAAAACCCAAGTGAGAGATGGTGAGACTGACCATAATAGCTACTGTGTAGGTGGTGAGAGGTGGTCGGGTTCTGGACATACTTTATGGGCGGTCACTAGTATATGCTGTTGGATTAGAGGGAAAGAGTAAGAAGTTGAACTTTAGAGGTGAAGGGTGAGAGAAGGAGCCAATAAAAGGCTGAGAAGGAGCCGCCAGTGAGACAGGGTGAAAGAAAGGGAGAGCCTAGGAGCCAGGGAGGGAAAGCTTATCAGGGGCTGAAGTTCTGCCAGGCGCTGCTGATAGGTTAGAAACAATGAGAACTGACTGGCTTTGGATTTAACTGTCTGTAGGTGATTGGTCACTTTCATGTTTCAGTGGCGGGAGTGGAGTAAAGGTCTAATTGGAGAGAGCACAATTTGAAGGGAAGCACAACTCGCATAAAGGGAGTATGCATCTGTGACATTTTGCCACAAAGGGAATCAAAAGAATTAACCTTGGTTGTTTGTTTTCTAGTAATTGGACATGGATCTGCCAGTGACTTTGCTTTATCGGAAGGAGCAAGTTAATGATGTAGAAGAGGGAAGTGAGGCTTACTAGAGCAGCGACCTGGCATATGAATGAGCAGGGGAATAGTGGTGGAGTTAGACTTCCATGTGTCCCTGGAGCTAGGGTAGAGGATATAGACTCAGGCTGGTAGGCAGCTAGCTCCAGAGATTCTGGATCTTCTTTCCTGATTGCTTGTGTAGGAATCAAGGTCAGTATTAAAGTGGTACAGATCTTATGTGGCCTTCGATTTCTTTTTCTCCTGATGCTTTTCATGACATGATCTACCATGAGCCCTGGGAAGCCACAGGATGATTATAAAATGCTTATTAAAATTTTCTTTCTTTTTGGTACAGGGGATTGAACTCTGGACCCTGCGCTTGCCAGGCAGGTGGCAGAACCACTGAGCTAAATCCCCGGCCCCTAAAATTTTCTTGCAGAAAATTGCCATTTTTTTATTATATAGTGTAACTGTCTACTTTGTATAAACTTAGAGAGAGACTCCTAAACTTCTTTCAGAACTAACTGGGAATTTTTTTTCTCATTGATCTTCAAGCCAAAGAGCGTAACTCATTCAAAGTTCCTTAGAATTTACCCAGCACAATTTGCATGTTAAGTATACGAAAGTCAACTCAGAGGCCCAAGGAGGGGTAGCACAGTCTGGTGTTCAGCTGTCTGTGTCGTTCTAATTTATATAATTTAGTATTGAAAATCAGTTTTATTGCATTTGTGTGTATACATTTAAACTTACCCCTTTGACAACAAAAGTGACTTACTCTAAATTAGAGGCAAGGAAAGCATGACATTAAAATGTATGTTAAAATATATAACTAAAATGTCAGGGTCAAAATGGGAACTTTGTCTAAATTGTCTAACTTAGTCCCTGAAAATTACATTGCATATTGTAATTATAATGTCCTGAAATCATTTCACAGCATTTGTTCTTGGCTGAGTTTACATTACAATGAAAATGATAAATGTCTCTAATTTCTCATTTTTGATGGCTGAGTATTACTCCATTTTATAAAAAACCCCACATTTTCTTGATCCAGTCTCCAGTTGATGGGCATTTGGGCTGTTTCCAAGTTTTAGCTATTACAAACTGTGCTGCTATGAACATGGGTGCATATATATCACTGTGATATGATTCTTTTAATTCTTTGGGGAAGATCCCCAGCAGGGGAATAGCTAGGTCAAATGGGACTTCCAGTCCTAGTTCTTAGAGGTATCTCCATACTGATTTCCACAGAGGTTGCACCAGTCTACACTCCCACCAGTAGTGGAGCAGGGTTCCTTTTTCCCCACAGCCCCACCAGCATTTGTTATTGGTTGATTTCATGATAGCACCCATTCTTTCTGGAGTGAGGTGGAATCTCAGTGTTGTTTTCATTTGCATCTCTCGAATGACCTGTGATGCTGAACATTTTTTCGTATGTTTATTTGCCATTTCTACTTCTTTGTATGAGCAATGTCTGTTCATTTCAGATGCCCATTTTTGGATTGCTAAATGGATGCACATTGAGGCGATACTCTTAAGTGAAATAAATAGGACACACGTGTAAATACCAAATAGTTTCTCTAGTGTGAGAAACTGAAAGTATAAATAAGAACTAAAGGTATAATAGATAATGTGAAATAGGAAAAGGGGCAAAGGGGAAGGGGAAGTTGGAGGGGGAGGAGAAAGGAAAGAATGGGTGGAATTAATATGAGAAAATGAAAAAAAGGGAACAAAGTCTTTGTAAATAGGGAGGGATGGAGGGGTTGAAGGGAGGGCAGGGGAAGGGAAAAAAAATAAGAACCAAGAGAGTATGTAAAGGTAGATATCTCCAATGATGAATGTTATTATACTGTAGACCTAAAATGTACCAATAAGATGATATACAAAAAAAATGAAAATGGTAAAGCTGGATTGATTATATGTTATTTTACATTTCTGGCACTTGATTGTATCTGTAGATTACATTACTATTCTAAAATGGGTGGAGAGCCAAACATGGTGGTGCACACCTGAGGCAGGAGGATTGCTGGGAATTCAAGGCCAGCCTGGGCTAGGTAGCGAGTTCAAGGCCAGCCTGAACTGTACAGCAAGACCCTGTCTCAAAGAAACAAGCCAAACAAACCAAAACAAAATGGGTGGAGAAAAACGCTGGTACTCTAGTTTGCTCTTTCCAGTTGTCTTTTTCCTGCTCTTCCTGCTCCTGCTTCTTTGTCTAAACATTCTGGTAATTTAGAACTGGTAAAACCAGAGAGTCAGCATCCAAAATACACATAAAATTTCTATGAAATGGTGAGAAAAGGGCAAACAACTTGGGAGGAAAATGAGTAAAAGGTATATGTACACATTTCATCAGAGGAAGCATGAGTTAGCCAGTAGACCGGAAGAAATGCTTAGCATTATTAATCAGCAGGAAAATGCAAAGTAGGACTATAATTAAATGCCATTTTCTATCCTAAAGTTAACAAATTGGTGTTATTAAATGTTGGAGGGGATGTGGATTAGCATGGACTGACTGCTGCTGGTGTGATTATAAATTACCAAACACTTTGGAGGAAATAAAAATTAGTATCATCATGAAAAATTGAATATAACACATGCTTCTTGATTCAGGCATATACTCCCGTACTTCTGAGAAACTGTGGTGTGTGTGGGTCAAGAGACACCTTCCTGAGCTGGATGTGGTGGCGCACCCTGTGATCCCAGCACTTGGGAGGCTGAGGCAGGAGGATCCTGAGGCCAGCGTGGGCTACACAGTGAGTTCAAGGCCAGCCTGGACTACATCCTGAGACCCTGACTCAAAAAAAAAAAAAGACACTTTCCTAACAGAAATGTTTATAATAGCAAAACAAAAATATGATCTCTTGATGAGGATGAATAATTAAACTGTGATACATTTACACACACAGTATTCTTCTGCAGGGAAAATGGATGCACTGCAGCCACAGGCAGCAATGTGGATTAATTTTAGAAACATAGTATTGAATGAAAACATCAAATCCTATGAGAGGAGCTGTTTGATATAATTTTTTTTTGCAATTGGAAACAAGCAAAATGGCACCCAGGATTGTTGAGAGATGTGTAAATATGTGATATGCTTTTTTAAAAAAGTGATAAAAATAATGGATTGCAGAGGGTGGAGGGATGAGAGGACGACAGGTGTGCGGTGGAGGGTGGCAGATCGACAGAGCAGCACCACTTGCTTACACTTATTTGTTGAGTTGGGTGGCAGGTACCCACATGTCCATTCTCATTTTGTTCCAAATATAACCAAACATGTTACAGATACTTATTGTATGTAGCAGTTAATGTGTTAAAAAATAATAAAGCCATACTCCGATATCACAGTTTAGAAGGCATGTCCTCATTTCTTCCTCTTCCCCTATGGCCAGTTGAATTCCTAAAATACTGTCGTTCTCAGTGTTTCAGTATTAAAACCTTCTGTCTCATTAGGCTAGCATGTGTCTGACACTTGATAAGTCAATAGTAGAAACTTGTTGGATAAATAATTGAATCAATGATTTGAGGAAATGATTGCTTATTTTTTAGTAGGTCATCTTATAAAGAATATCTTTCCACTGCTAACTAGGTTCCTATAAAATAAGAACCCAGCCAGGATGTAAGATAGATATCAAAATAAGACTATCATTGGATAGTTTTTTGAATAATTAAATGATTTTGAGGGGGAACTATGGTAATAATATGATTAAAGAGATTAACAAGTAGAGCTATATGACACAAAGTAGTTGCTTAGAAAAGCAGACTGTTGCCCTTCGGGGGCTGAGGCAGGACAATAGCCGTGAGTTTGAGGTTAACCTGGGCTATATATACATAGTTCAGACTAAATAGTGAGACCCTGTATCAAAAAAAAAGAAAAGCAGACTTGTTAAAGATGAAGGTATTCCTAGGTGCACATTAAACTTAGAAGCCTCTGGGAATTGGTCCAAGCTCCTCATTGTTTAATAAAAGAGCTTTGGGGCCAAAGAAGTGATAGACTAAAACCAGAGAACTCATTGAGAGCAGAGCTAAGAGAGATCAGAACCTAGATTTCATGGTCGGTACTGGTGTTCTCATATTGAAATACTGAATCGTAAATAAAAGAAACATTTAAATATTCAATGTATTTGGCAAATAACTTGAAGCTGGAGTATGATCTTTGAATAAGGAAATGACTTTTCTGATTTTAATCAGCTCCAGACTACATTTCTTTTCCATGCTTGACTAATAGAGTGTACCTAGAGAAATAGCAATGTTGTTATTTCCCTTCTCTCTCTAAAACGAAGGCAGAATGAGCTGTGATGTACAAAAGGATATGGGCCTGGAAGTGCTGGGTTGGGTTTGGAATCTGGCTCTGCCACTACAGAGCTGTGTTGTCACTGAGTCCCAGCATGAGATCACTAGTCTTAGTGTCCTCACCAGTGGAATGAAGAAGTTGAACAGGATGTCTGGAGAGCTTCAAATGGCCTTATGTTTTTCATGGATTTTTTTGTTTTTTGAGAGAGTCTCAATATGTAGTTCAGGCTGGCCTTGAACTCACTGTGTCACCCAGACTGGCCTCCAATTCAAGGTGATCCTTTTGCCTCATCCTTCTGAGTGCTGGGATTACAGGCACGCACCACCACACCAGGCTAATTGCATTGATTTTAATAATTGATTTTTATCTATCTGAAAGTGATCTTATGTGTTCTATTACTAAAGTAAGATAACAGCTATGGAGTCATTTGAATATGAATGACTCAGGATGCTGAGTCTTTTTATATTCTGAACATTAACCAAGTTTTCTTTTTCTTTCTTTTAGTACAGGAATAGTACTTCTCCAAGTCTACTTCAGGAAGAAAGTGCCTGCCATTCCTGTGGTTTCTACACAGGTTCATGCCAGCCTATAACACAGAATCAGGTCAGTTTGGGGATATTTTAATGTGTTGAAGGAGAGCCAGGGACAGAATCCTGGTTGTCTCAGCTCTGTTGCTGAGTAGTACCATGCCCACTGAGCTGTGGTGCAGATCCCCAGGGTGTCCTCCTTAGTACTGACAGCTTGGAAAACTAGGGAGAGTCACTTCCTTTGATGGCTTTTAGTTTTGTACCAAAAAAGTATATTGGAATAAATTATCTTCAATTTTAATTTTGGTTTTAAATCATTGTAACTTTTATTATAGGACCTATAAGGGATAAAAACCATGTTTTTAAAACATCATTTTTCCATTCTCTTCTGGAAAGATCTACCATGTTTCTCGAGTTGTGATGGAGTAACCCATCATTTTGGGGAATGTCCCAAGCTATGACTGCACTGGGTGTCGGAGTTCACCCAGGGGCCCTGGCTGGCTGGGGGCTGGGGGCTGGGGCTCACTGCCACTACCAAGGTCAAGAGAAAGTAGCGTATCGCTGGCCCAGGAAAAGATCAGAATTCAAAATTCAGAGTAAACTTCCTAGTGAATGTACTTGCTTCTGTACCATGGTAAGAGTTGTTAAGTCAAAGAGTAGTGATTTGAGGATTATCTACTTGTTTCTGAAGCACAGGTTTGGAACTCTTTGATCTATTGTACAGCAGTTACAGGTGCTGCAGGTGACTCATTTAGGTGATAAATGGCATTGTCAGGCCATGGTGGTGGGGGGGAGTCTGTGGCTGCCCAGGTGCCTCCACCATACTGTTGTACTTTACTTTATGGTTATTGAAAAGTTTACTTTTTAGCTGAGGTTATTAGTCCTTCAGTAATGTTCTTCAGCTTTAGAGAGGGTAACTTTCACCATGTTATGTCCATATTGGTTGCAGTTAACTCAGTGAAATTAGCTTGACCAAAAAGGGGAGGTATCAGGCTTTGGAGAGTGGCCCAAGGACACTGGCATCCAAGGACAGAGGAAAGAGGGGCTGCACAGTGAGGACCGGGGACCTGTGCAGAGTCAGGTTTCTTGCTGGTTCTCAGCAAAGTGCTTGTCTTTTGCACTCAGTCCCGTTCTTCTCCAGCTCTTTGGGGATGTCATCCTGATTCATGCTTTGTGATGGGAAGGATGATGGTCCCTCCCAAGATTTGTTCAGACTGGCAGTTCAGACTCCAAGGAAGGGCTAACTCTTAGACACCACACAGCAGATTTCCCAGGTCAGACTCAATTCCTCAGTCAGACCCCCTGGAACAACTGTGGGCTAGGGGAGGATTCGTTAAGGACTTCACATTGACTGTTGTTCCAAAGCCTGTGCTGGGGAAAGGATTTGACTTACTCTTAATGAAAATTCAGGTAACTAATAATAGCATGTAGTACTCCTTCCAAGTGCACTTGCATTTTAATTGAGATAAATATTGAGGTAAAACTGTATTTTTTAAACTGTACGAGTGAATCTTAAGTTCCAATATATTAAAAAAATTAGCAAATGCAAGAAAAGTGTAGAAATTGAAGGGCATAGTTTTAGGGTACAGGGAGTGGAAGAAAATAGGAAACCATGTTAGTGTGGGTAGAGAGGCTTTACAAGGAATGGCTAAAACAGCAGGCAAAAGAAACACTTTTTTTTGAAACAGCTTCTCACTATGTGGTTCAGGCTGGTTTTGACCTCGTTATGTTTCCCAGGCTGGCCTCAAACTGTTTCACAGTGATCCTCCTGCCTCAGCCTCCCAAGGGCTGAGATTACAGGTATGCGCCACCACACCTGGCTTTATTTTACTTCTTTGGAAAAAATATTTGAATGTAAGACAGAGTACCATTAGACTTAATCACAGCTCAGCTACAAACTGTGATTTTGAATAAATCACTTTTTTTTCAGGGTACCTCGGTTTATTTAAATCCTGGCATTGCCAAAATAGGAGAAATGTGACTCTAATCTCCATTTCCCTTGTTTCTCCCTAGTAGCAAAAGAGAGTTTGTGTTTCCTTTTATCAAATGTTAGTTTTTAGTCCCATATAGAATGCTTCAGGTGCACCTGACGTTTCACTGTGCATAGTTATTAAGAAGGTATTTTTCATAAGATATACAGGATATGCTCTCTTCATTTCCCTGGAGAAGTTCAAAACTATGAGGTCTTAGCTTATTAATGTTACTTTGCTGAACTGTATAATGGATATTAGGAAATGAGAAGAAAGTGTTCAAATGGGAAGGGGAACAAGGGAGGAGGGAGGGAGAAAGGAAGGAAGGGACAAGAAGAAAAGTGAAAATAGAAGAAAAAATGGAAACAGAGTTTTTGTACCTAGGGAGGGGAGGTGGCTTAAGGGAGGAATGGGATAAGATAAAATTTACTTAAAAATTGCTTTAATTTCATCAACTTTTCTGTGGCAACTTCTGATTGATAAACTTACCAACCATTTGTGAGGGTAGTTGTTCTTACCGTGTTTATTGGTATTGTCTCATACACTGCACCACAGGCTGCAGAGAAACACTTGCCCAGCTCAGCCCTGGCCCTCCTTCTGCGGCACCCTTCTCTATCCTCTTTTAGATTTAGCTACGCTAAATCTGTTCTCATACTTCTTATAATCAGTCTTTTCTCAACGAATTAGAGAGAGCGAGACAGACAGATAGACAGACGGCGTTATTAGGGGAATCGATTTTCTGGACCGTGGAGCCAGGAAGTCCCCCAGGGACCATCTGCAAGCTGGAGAAGCAGGTAGATGGGTCACTTCAGGCTCACTTCAGGTCGGGAAGTCTCAGGACCTGGGGGACCAGTGGTGTAACTCTCAGCCCAAGGCAGAAGACCTGAGAGCTAGTGTGAGGAAGAGAGGGTCCCACTGGTGTGATGCCTAGAGTCCACAGGCAGGAAAATCGAAAGCTCTGACGTTTAGAGGCATGAAAGAAGGGCATCCTGGCTCCACTGGAAAGGGTGAGGATTCATCCTTCCTTGACTGTGTTTTTCCTGTCCTGGTCCCCACCTGATTGGATGGTGCCCACTTCCGCTAAGGGCAGATCTTCGCCTTCCCCACTTAGCTCATTAACTCACTCCACAGTCACCTCCAGGAACACGTCTTGGGCCCACATGGGCCAGCCCAGTCTTTGCAGTTGGTGCCAAACCACATGGGCTTCCCTTTTGACAGAAGAGGAAAGGGCTTGGTGCCTGTTAAAGCATTGAGAATAATTAATGCTCTACCAGCTGTCTGAGCATCCATTAAACTGGTCAAGTTGATGCCTACCTAAAATCAATTATCACACTTAAAAAGGACTTTTGTGGTTTCTTTTGTAATCCTTGTGTTGGAAGGTGGTACAGTTGTGTTGCTGAAAGTGAGATTTGACCTTGTTGGCGTTATCTGTATGAGTTAAGGTGTAAGGTGTGTGTATAGCATGCAGAATTATGTTTCTTCCGTAAGGTTAGTTCTCTAAGAAAAGCTTGTTTTCAAAAACTATTAGATTTAGTGACTACTTCTCAAGCATATGAAAATTTTAAATTTAACAAGTGGTGTTTAATTGTAATTATTTGTGAATTACTGTAAACAGAATATACATGTTTGTAGACTGGCCTCTTGCTGGGTTTGGAAGTTGTGTCAGTCAGCTTTCCATTTCTATAACTAATATCTGAAACAAATCAACTTAAAAAAGAAAAGGCCCTGTTTTGGCTTATGGTTTCAGAGGCTTCAGTCCCTGATCATTGGGTGTGCTGCTTGGGGCCTTGTGGCAAGTAGAGACATGGGCACAGGGAACTGCACCTCTTGGCCACTGGAAACGGAAAGAGAACACAGAAGGTATGGGGTCCCACTGTTCCCTACCAGGGCATACCCAGTAACCTGACTTCCTTCCAGTAGCCCCACCTCCTAACAGGCCTGAGAGGGGCAGTGCAGCCAGGATCCAAACTATAGCACTGTAGACTATAAGGAAGTGAATATCAGTGCAGTAGGGTTTCTGTGCAGTGTACCTTTGTATTTACTGTCTCAAGAGGATTTAATCGTGGAAACTATACTTAATTTTAAGACTTGTTTGTTACATGTGATGAACTGAAAAGTGCATCCTTATTTTGGAACAAATGATGATAGTTTTTCTTAGAAAAAATATATCGTCTTGATTGTAGCAAAGAGGAGGGTAGAAGCACCATTGCTTGTATTGAGCTGATAGCTGGACATGGTAGTGCATGCCTGTAATCCCAGCATGTGGGAGGCCAGCCTGAGCTACATAATGAGTTCAAGATCAGCCTGCACTACAAAGAGAGACCTGTCTCAAAACAAACAACAACAAAAATCTCTTGTGCTGAAAGTTTTGTATGTAAATTACCTTATTTTTATTATGAAAAGTTTTGGGACCAGAGAAATTCATGGCTAAATTTTAGGCTTTAGACTCATTGATGAAAATAGTGTTATATATGGTTTAGGAAAAACATTACCCAGGAATGATAATCTGTGGAGAATATCTTCTTTCTGGAGACGTCTATTGAGAGAATTTCAAAAGTTCAGGGAAGGGGACTGAACTTTGGTGTCGTGCAGGTTTGGGATGCATGAGGCCCTGGGTTCAATTCCCATAACCTGCTTCCCTAAGAGAAAACAACCAAGTTCAGGAAAGGGAACTCAGAAAATATAAATGAGCTCATGACTACAAATAGTTAATGCTAAGTTTAAATTGCAAAGTATAAAAAGTTCTTATCAGAAAGTATAAGTTGGAAAATAAAATAGCATTACTAAACAGAGTAGAAATTTAAATCTTAATTGAATTTTTCTTAATTTCAAGAAATGATAGTGAAATTTAGGACCTGGGGGTTATAGGAATATATGCAAATGCAGAGTGCATGGCCTGCATACCCAAAGCCCCAGGTTCTATCTCCAGCACTGCCAAAAAGAAGAAAAAGGATTAAGACTCAGAAATGCTGATAATTTTAATCCTCACTTTATCTCCTGCTGTGAAACTTTGTATATAATTTTCTTTTTTCTTAGATTTTGGGTTTTTATTGAATAGAAGTTAGTATGCTTACATAATTGAATTGATTTTCAACCTGAGTATCCC